ACTGGGCAGTCAGGGCCCAGCAGGTGCCAGATTCTCACTCTAATGGACAACTGAAAAAACCAAACCCATTGCTGTGGAGTCGATTCTGACTCATAGCAACTCTATAGAACAGATTAGAACTGCCCCCATAGGGTTTCCAAGGAGCAGCTGGTTAATTCGAACTGCTGACTTTTTGGTTAGCAGCCAAGCTCTTAACCACTGCACCACCAGGGCTCCTAATGGGCAAGAGAGAAGCTTTAATAAAGGGACAGTTTACAAAGGCCTGGACTGGGGCAGGAGGACCAAGAAGGGGGTGAAACACTAGGGCTGGCCCTTGAGGGAAGCTGTTAGCAACAGTGGGCCTGAGGGGCAGAGAGGAGCGGGCACCAGGCAGGAGAACAGGCTGCAGCTGTAGGAAAGAAAAGCAGTCAACTGGGGAACCCTGCAGATGGGGCCCAGGGGCAGAGGGAGGAGCAAATATCCACCTCCCCCTGCCCTCTGCCCTCCTGTCCACTCCACATTTGCTGAACCCAAATGGAAGCCAAGGGCACAGAGCCCTGTTGGTGCTGACCTTGGAGACCAGCCTCAGCCACAGAGCGGTGGACAAGTGTGGGGTGGATGTGGTTGTGGAGTGCACCAGTGCACACACAGGGAAGGAGCTGGCCTAGTTCAGGGTCTCCTGTCTGGTCTAGATGCTTGCAAAGTCTTCAAGAAAGAATCACAAAAAAGATATTTAATTATCTGCTCTGTGCTAGGTACTAGTCAAGAGTATCACATACATGACAACACTGAAATTTCACAGCCAGCCAGAGGGACACTCTGTTACCAGCCACCAGTGGGTGCACCCAGCACCCACTTGGGCATATAGGGAGGCTGGGATTACAAAGAGAATGACACCTCCCCTTGAGCTGACAACTTCCTCTCCTCTTCTCTCCTCTCTTTTCCTCGTTTCTTCCCATCTTCTTTCTCTCTCTCCTTTATTTAAAAAAAAACAAACAAACCCAAAATCCACCAGTTGCCCTCAAGTGGATTCTGACTCATGGCAACCCCACGTACATCAGAGTAGAACTGTCCCATAGAGTTTTCAAGGCTGTCACCTTTTGGAAGCACATTGCCAGGCATCTCTGGGTGGATTTGAACTGCCAACCTTTTGGCTAGTAGTTGAACACTTAACCTATCACACCACCCAGGGACTTCAAAAAGGCAAAAGTGGATTATATTATATAAATGATTATCTGCTGCCTGCTTTTCCCACTAAACAGTGTATCGCGAATATCTTTACAAGCTAACAGAAGCTTAAGATTCGTTTATAAGGCAATTAAAACAACATCGTCACACACAGATCTGATTATTATAAAATCCATTCTAAAATGTAAGTTTACTGTAGTTTTGCTCTGCCTTTATCTTTACTATGTATTTTATTTTTATCTTAATGATGAAATATTAAGTAGTTTTTATAATTGTGAAAGTAGTATTGTGCATAGTTTTACAAAAAATCAAACACTGGAGGAGAGTATAAAAAACGAAAAGTCAAGGTCTCCCTGCCCACCTCACCCCAACACCACACGTTTCACAGGTAGCCCCTTAACAGTCCCTGGTGTGTCCTTCTGGAAAACAAGACCACCTCCATGCCCAAATGGGTAAAGGACAGGATGAAGTAGTTCACAGAAAAAGAGATAAAAATGGCCAGCGGATATATAGATAGATACTTAAACTCCTTCTTAAAGACATGAAAATTAAAATGAAATTAAATTTACCTTCTAGATTGGCAAAAAAATTACAAGTTTGGTAAAATCTAGGATTATGAGCATGTAGGAAAATAGTCACTCTTGTCCACTTTTGATGAGAGTGTAAATAGGTGTACTTTTTGGAGGGAAATTCAATAATATCTAACAATTTTTAAAAGCACATACATTCCTATTGTAAGAGTATTTTCTGTGAATTGTCAGGGCAAACTGGCAAAGATATACCGCTCAAAGATTCTCATTGAAGCATTGTTCAAATAGCAACAAACAAAAACCCACTTAACTGTCCATCAATAGGAGACCTGTTGAAAAAGTGTTACAACACTCATATAATGGAATAGTATGCAAGTGTTTAAAGAATAAGGTGGATTAATGTGCGCTGATGTGAAAAGCTCCCTAAGATATAATGGATATATTGCAAAGAGATCCCATTCACGTAAACTTTAAAATGATCTCCATATAAATATTTGTGTATGCATAGAAAACTTCCAGAAGGTTGTGCAATTAACTGTTAAAGGTAATTAACTCTGGAGTGTGGCCTGGGAGTTGTAGGAAGAGAGACTTTCACTTTTCATTTATGTCCTCATGTACTGTTTGATATTTTTAAAAACTCTATGCATGTATTGACTTTTGTTGAGAGGCAGGTAATATGTGAATGCACAGACATACCACCCAATGTAAATATACAAATAGTCTTAACGATGAAATTCTCAGCTCCTGGAATAAGTCCTAATGGCTCTTTGAACCCCTACAGTGGGCTATGTTCTTTATGTTATGTCCCAAAACTTGCAAGGAAGTTATTAGTAACTCCATTTTCAGATGAGAAGATTGAGCCTCAAAGGGTTTAAGTAACTTGTTGGAGGTCCCTCAGCTAGTAAGTGACCTAAAGCTTCCTCTCCATCTCCTTTACCAGGTAAAAGAGAACTGGACTAGAAGTCATGAAAGCTGGTCTCTAGTCCTGTAGCAGCCTTCAACTAGTTGGTGGCCTTGGCCAAGTCACTGTGCTCCAGGGGGCTTCAGTTTGCTGTGTTCTCTACCTGCCCCAGGAGGTAGCCTCAAGAGTTCTAATGGGCAAACCAGGACAGAATACATGTAATAGTTATACCATGCGACCACAGTTGTGAGAGCTTTGGAAAGTCTGATATGGAACACTCATGGAAAGCCAAGAAGACTCCCTGGAGGAGGTAGTAAAGGAGTAATAGCACTAACATGTAGACCTTTTTATCTACAGAGCCATGTGCCAAGCACTTCAAACATGTTTTCCCCAAAGTATCCCACTGTGAGGTGGGGGACAGTATCTCTTTCCACTTTGGTAACTGAGGCCAGGGTCTGGGTATGAGTTCAGCTCAAGTACACACAGCCAGTGTGGATGGAGCTGGAATTCCAGCCCATACCACCAGAATCTGGAGCCCAAGCTCCTTCTCAACCCCCTGCTGCCTCCTCCCCACCCATCCCATTCACACTCTCCGCCTTCCTCCCTCAGGTAATAAAAATTCCAAGATCACACCTGAGATGCCGAGAAACGTCTGCCTGGGAGTAGTCAATTCGGGCAGCTATGACTCCTTCTACCTGAACGACACTGCCAAGTGCTTCACAGAGTGTACACTGAAGGATGACTCCTGCAATCTGAAAAACTTGCAGAGGTGAGAAGGCCCTCCAAGCTGGGGCAGGAATCTGGGGCTTCAGGGTAGGGGAGGCGACTATGGCCAGAAAATTCTGACTCCCATCTCATTCTTCCATCTTGCTGTTTGACTCCCAGGCCTCCTGGGAATCAGGGGCCCTGCTGGTCAAGGGGTTGCAGAGATTAATCAGCTCTGCCTTTGGGAGTTGTGGAGGGACAGATATGGACACAAATGTTGATTACTCCAGAGTGTGATCTTACAGATCTAGAAAGGTGGACAAGGTGTCAGCTGAGCCCGGAGAAGGAAGTCTGCCATGCTTCACACACGAAAGGAGACAAATCATGAAAGGGCTTTGATGGTTGCATAGGAGTTTTCCAGCTGGATCCAGGCAATGGTGAGGGATACTGGCAGCAGAACTTAGTGAATATTGAAGGAGAACTACAGTGCTTTGAACTGTGAGACAGTAAAGATCTGGGGGAGGGAGCTGTCAGGGAGAAGGGAACAGGTCGGGGGATAGGCCTAGAAATGTGAGTAGGGACCAAAGTGAGCTCTGCAGAGGAATCTGGATTTTATTCTATACTACTGTGGGGGAGGGGGGTGGTAGAGGGAGGAGGAGCAATGACATATTTTAAGCAGAGGAAGAACATGGTCAACTTAGCATTTTTAGAAGGATTGCTTAGGCTTCTGGTGTGGTGATAAGGAGGAGACGTGCCTAACTGCCACCACGCACCTGGAAAGGGGGGATGGATGAGAGAATTGTGTGGTATGCAATCAAGAAGACCAAGAGACTGATTAGATGTGGGAGTGAGGGAGAGGAAGGGGTTTAAGGCACAGCATCTCAGCGAGTCATCTCCAAAAATACTCTGCCTCTTTGTCTCCACTTCCGACCAATCAGTGTTGTCCATAACTTTTCAGGGATGTCCTGAACAGTGCCTGCTTTATTTGTTGTTAAGTGCCGTCTAGTCAGTTCTGAGACAGAGTAGAACTGCCTCATAGGGCTTTCTTGGCTGTAATCTATGGAAGCAGATGGCCAGGTCTTTCTCCCTAGGAGATGCTGGGTGGGTTCAAACGGCCAACCTTTCAGTTAGCAGCCAAGCAGTTAATTGTTACGTCACCAGGGCTCCTTATACTTGTTGCCATCGAGTCAATTCCAACTCATAGCGACCCTATGGGACAGAGTAGAACTGCCCCATAGGATTTCCAGGGAGTGGCTGGTGGATTCGAACTGCCAACCAGGGCTCTTTATAGTCAGCACTAAATAAAAATATTTGTTAAATAAATGAATGAAAACCCTGTGCTCTCAAGCTTCGTGTTAGAAGAACAATCTGACTGCATAACGTCATTTCAGTGGCCTGCAGCTGCTGCAGTTGCTTCTTAGCTCCAGAGAGCCCTTCAGGGGATTCCTCTTCGTGCTGCCGTATGATAGCGTTGTCATGGACAAAGCAGGGGCTCTGAGATCAGAGAGCTTGGGTTCTATTCCAAACTTCATCATTTATGAGCTGTGCCAAGAGCTTTGAGTTATCTTGTTTATCTTCCCAACAACCCTGTGAGGTGGGTCCTGTTATCAACCCATTTTTCAGATGAGGAAGCTAAGTCTCCAAAAAGTTAAATCCCAAAAATACGTTCCCACTGATAAGTAGCAAAATCAAACATGAAGCTAGATCTAGAAGGCAGTCGGGGCGGTATATCATATTATTTAGGCTGAGATCAGCTTGCCTTTCAGTTTAGTCATTCACAGAGCAGGGTTAAAAATAACACCTAACTTACAGAATTATTGTAAGGATTAAATATATAATTCATCCATGTTAGCTATTATCATTATTTCATTATTAACATTGTTTTTTTACAATTATTCCAAAACCTTTGTTCTCAATCTCTCTTATATACCTTCCTCATAAGGTTGTTGTTGAGATCAACAAGATAATGCATATAGAGTTATTAGCAAATAGTAGGAGCTCAATAAATGTTTATGTTCTTTATTTTAATGACTTTTTATGATTATAAAAGTAATATATATTCATTGGGAAATAGCTATAGAAAAAAAGAAAATTTCCTCTAATCTCATCATCTAGAGATAACTATTATTTTTATTTTGGTGTATTTCTTTTTAACCCTTTATGTAATATGTATATACAGACACAAAATGTATATATTTATAGTTAACTAATTGACATCATACTCTATCACAACTCATTTATTCATTCTACCGCTTTGATGGATATTTGGGTGGTCTCCAGTTTCTGGCTTATACATATAGTGTTGCTATGAATATTCTTGTTGGTGTATTTTGGTGAACATATGTATGTATTTTGCAAGGTATAGCCCTAGGAATGGAATTGGTAGATAATAGGGTAGGCATAGGAGCCCTGGTGGTGCAGTGGTTAAGCACTTGGCAACTAATCAAAAGGTCAGCAGTTCAAATCCACCAGCTACTCTGCAGGAGAAAGATGTAGCAGGCTGCCCCCATAAAGATTTACAGCCTTGGAAACCCTATGAAGCAGCTGTACTCTGTCCTATAGGGTCACTATGAGTCCACTCAATGGCAATGAGTTTGGTTATTTTTTTTTTTTGAGGGTAAGCATATTATTAGTTTTAGTAGAGACTGTCAAACAGTTTTCCAAAGTGGTTGAACCAAATTTAACTCCCACCAGAAGTATAAGATAGTTCCAGTTGCTTCACATCCTTGCCAACACTTGGCATCGTCTACTTTTTCATTTTAGTCATTCTGGGAGGTTCGTAATGTATCTCATAGTGATTTTAATTACACTCCCACCATGACTAATGAAGTTTGACACCTTTCATATGTTTACTGGACATTTGGATATCCTCTTTGTGACTTGCCCTTTTAAGTCTTTTAAGCATTGCTCTATGGGGTTATTTCAAATTTTCTTAGTGATTTTTTAGGGTTCTTTATAGATTCTGGATACGTGTCCTTTGTCAAATGTATATACTGGGAGTATCTTCTCCCGCATTGTAGGTTGCCTTTTCATTGTTGTAGTGCTGTCTTTTGATGACGGGCAGAGCTATTAATTTTTATGTAGTGCAATGTATTAAAATTTTTCTTTATAGTTAATGCTTTTGTGTCCTGTTTAAGAAATCTTTCTCTATCCCAAGATCATAAAGATACTCCTCTATGTTTTCTTCTGAAAGTTTTACTGCTTTCTTTATCTTTCACATTTCTGTCTACATCCACAAAAAGAACAGTAACAGACTGTGAAAAATCTGCTCTGCTTCTCAGAGGTTTACAGTAGCAAGTACTTAAAATGTCTTAGTTAGACATATGTGAACTAGAGGGTAGGAGATAAACTCCACAGGGATTCATGGACCCAGCACCTCAGTAAATTTCTGGGACACTCGGAGGTCTGGAGAAGGTTAAGCTATTCTCTCCATGGTGAAAGACAAAGTGTTGAAGCCTACCAAGAAAAAAACAGGCACAACGTGGAAAAGCATATGCTGTGCAAACATTACCTAAAGAAACCCAAGTAGCTATATTAATCTAAGACAAAGAAGATGATGCTTAAACAAATGTTCACTTTGTAATTATAAATTCAACTGTACATCTATGTTTTAGAGAATTTTTGAGTGTCTGTTATATTCATGACTAAAACCATTTTTTAAAGTGCTCTGCGAACCAGATCAGAAAATCTTCCTTTGGGAAAGTAAGCTGTGCTTCTTTGTGAGGCCAAGGAATTTTTTTTTTAAGTGGGGAGAGAAATATATGTATATTGTGAAATACAATTCACTGTTTTATTTGGTAACTATTGCAACACTTCTTTGTCTAGATTTCAAAAAGGCAAATCAAAGCTAGGATCAGTTTGATGTAGCTCAGTTGATGGATTTGGACAATCTGGTCTTACCGTTTCTGGCTGATTGTGTCCTTATTGTCTGCCCCACCCAAGCACATTTGACTTACTCTTTCTGTTGTGCAGTATTTTTTCTGTGATCTCTTTGGGGTTTTTTTCCTTGACTGTTCAAAAATGATGTCAAAATGAAAGCTTCCCTTTTGTGTCCCTGGAAAGTCCTCCATAGCTGCTTCTTTCCAACAGCCTTGGTCTGTGGTATCTGTTTCTGCTCCCTTCTCTCCCACCACTACCTTGGTCCTCACCTGTTCGGATTTGCTGAGGGAGGTTAGGCAGCAGTGCTCAGGATTCCAGGTATAGAAAAAGGAATGGTGCCCAGGAGCGCAGGGAGGTTTCAGTACCATGGAGAGCACCCATGGGCTTGCCTCCCCCTAACATTTTCGCTAAGGAGCCCTGGTGGCTCAATGGTTAAGTGCTCAGCTGCTAACCAAAAGGTCGGAGGTTTGAATCCACCAGCCTTTTGGTGGAAGAAAAGACCTGGAGATCTGCTGCCATAAGGATTACAGCCTAGGAAACCCTATGAGGCAGTTCTACTCTGTCCTATAGGGTTGTTATGAGTTGGAATCAACTTGACGGCACACAACAACCATAAGGATGGCAATGAGACAGGAGTAAAATAAGTGTCAATTAACTTTTGTGTTCTATGTGGTTCCAAAACCAGCTCTGTTGCAAGACATGCTTAGTTTTTCAGAGCTAAGCTAAGACATGCTTAATCTTCAAAGGCTGAATTCCCAGTATTCAGTTGGCACTCAACAAAGGGGCTGACATGCTCAGTCATGCCACACAGTCATCTCCTTACAGTTGAAAGTACTCAGAGGGACGACCAGCTGGAATCCCTCAGGATCAGCCCGCATTGCTCCCAAGCCACTCCCTTCCTCCTATAGCAATCCTAGAGTCTGCTCTTTGGTCTTCTGGGCCACCCCTCTCACCAAAGAGCCTGTTGATTGCTTCCCATGGTATCTCTCCTCCTGTCATCCAGGCTGGGGACCAGGTGAGTGGGTAACTCTGCCTGTAAGATCCTATTCTCTCTCCTGACCCCTGGCCCCCTGCAGATACTGGCTAGACTATGAGACCCACCTGGTGGAGAACAGTTTGACAGAAATTGTGAATATGTCTTTTGTGAAGACTTTGGTCCAGAACTTCAGCACTGACACCTCAGATGACCTGTACTTCTCACTGACCCCCTCTCAGGTAAGGAGTCCCCCTATCCCTGTTAGCTGGTCCTGGGTCTATTTCTCTCAGGCAAACTTCTCAGAATTCTGAGACAGTCATGGTCTGTGCTTGGTGTCCATCAAAACTTATCTCTTCCGTGCCGAGTTTTGGCAGAGTTCTATCTCCTTGCTGTGGGGTGCTAGTGAGTTCATTGGATGAGTGGATCCTGGTGATAGATTAGCCAGGGTTGTAGTAAGAGTTGTTTGGAAGAGCACAGAATTGAGTGTCAGCAAACTTGGCTTTTGGTCCTGGACTTTCCACCACTTTACTAGATGTCCTCTAGGAAATCCCTTCCCCTCTCTGGGACATAGAGTCCTTATCTGTAAAATGAGTTCTAAATCTCCACCAAAATCTAAAATTCCCTTGATTTCTTCCACCCAGAGAACAATTTGAAACCAGATAAAGAGCACATTTGGTAGTATAGCAAAACAGTTAAATGGGCAGACTCTGGTTTACATTGTTCTGGATTCAGATCCCAGCTGTGCCCCTTACTAACTATTGTGATCTTGGGAAAATTTCTTAACTTTCCTGAGCCTCAGGTTCCCCAAATGTAAAATGGTGATGGTATTGCCCACTTTCAAGGTTATTGGAAGGAGAAAATGAGGTAATGGACAGGTAATGCCTACCACAGTGAGGACTTGATAACGGTCATCAGCCTCCCTTAAGCAATGAACCTAATGGTGGAAGTTGAAGCACACAGGAAGTTGGTTAATGTGTAAATACTTTTAGGTCTGTTTGGAGGAGGAGAGATGGAAGACAGAGAGGGTCTTTCTCAACCCTCTGTTATATCACCAAAGCAGCTGAGCCCTCAGCGTGGGGTACACACTAGCCACAGGAATCACCTGCGTGTCCCTCTGACACAGAGTCTGGCATGGGAAGGGGAAAGTTGAGGCCTTCAGCTCCACCTCCTAGCTCCCTGTTCCAATGTCCATGGAATTCTCTTAAGGCAGGCACCAGGTAGGATCAGGCTACAGTCCCAGGAAGAACAGTGATATCAGAGATTCAACACATTTTTTTTTTCGTAATTACTAGTGAAATTTATTTTAATGTTTTGACCATTTTTAGTTTTTGTTAATTTGCCATTGATGGAGGTGATGGGGGAGGAAACATGCTCAGTGTGGATTCTTATGTGCTCCATTTCTGCCCCTGCTGTCTCCCTTCCTGAGCTCCAAGACAGTCACGTTTTTCTGATGGTTTTATTCTTTCAATTCATTCCCCAGTCTGAAGCTAGACACCATCACCATAAACCAAAAAAATCCATGGCTGTTGAGTCAATTCCGACTCATAGTAACCATATAGGACAGAGTAGAATTTTCCCATAGGGTTTCCAAGGAGTAGCTGGTGTATTCGAACTGTCAACCTTTTGGTTAGCAGCTGTAGCTCTTAACCACTGCACCACCAGGGCTCCATCATCACCATAAGTCCTATTTAAACACGGGGGCTGTGAGGACCTGGCCAAGAGCACACCACAGCCAACCAAACCTCCCTCACACTTGCAAATTGACTGACACAATCCAGGAGCTTCCCCTCCCCCGCTTCCCACCCCAGCCCCCCACCGTGTCATTTCTTCACAGCCTGCTTTCAGTCTGACAGGTGGCCAAGCAGGCACATCGTTAGCTCCTTTCTCATATTAGTGACACCGAGGCTCCACAGGTGCCATTAATTGTCCAGGGGCTCACAGGCTGGGAGGGGCAGAGCTCAGACTGTGTCCCAGGTGTCCTGTCTCTCAGACCTTATGTCTGCAGGTGCTGCCTCTCCACCAGAATATGCCTCAGCTTCCCCTCCCACCTGCGGGAGTGGCAGCACCTGTGCCTGGGGGTGTGGCTGGAATCCTCGGGTAAAGATGCGCGCTGCTGTGGCTGTGGTTACAGATCCCAAGGCAGGTGAGGGAGAATGAGAACAAGCCTCCTGACAGAGTCCGGCTTCCCAGGAGTTTCTTCGAATCCCTGCGGGGCAAGAGGTCTTCAGTCCGGTTGGCCATAACTGTCCTGGACATTGGTCTGGGGAATCTCTTCAAGGTGAGGAGAGGCCTGAGTGGGGCTCAGGGTAGCTCTGCGGTTAAATGCCAGGTTCACCTGGGTCCCAGGCCCCAGCTCACCCTCACTGGCATCTTTGTTGAGGGGCCAGATGGGCATGGGGTGGGGGGGGTCTAGCCTCGAGAATGTTTCTAAAACAGCCTCACGACCATGGTCACCCCAGATCCCTGTCTCTGTAGTTACCCACTCAGAGGTCTGGCACCCCACACAACCAGGTTTGGTCATGAGCTCACGTGTCCATGTGCATGCACAAACACGCAGATCCTTTTATATCAACACGCTAATCACTTGTGCTCATATGTGGCCATGTCCACCGGAGCAAGTATCCCCACGTCCTTGAAAATACGTTTGCCAGGTGTGTGCACCCAGAAGTATAGATCCCCTCGTGTGCAGACGTGTACCCCTGAGTGCTGGTGTGGGCAGGTGCACCCACTGTCCTTTATTTCTAGGCTGACCTTTCTCCTGGCCTTGTGCCCTCTGGTTAAGGGGGCAGAGGAGCTCTGAAGGTCTGCAACTGAGAGGTACGGCTTGGTGGCCAGTTTGCTTGGATGGAGCCTCTAGGCCCCTGGCCTCAGTCTTTCCCTTCCAGGCAAGGGCCACTGGTCCTGGAGGCTCCCAGGGACCCTCGGCCAGGGTTGGGGTTGGGACAGCCCTTCTGCAGCCTGTCCTCCCTCCCCGCAGGGCTCCCGGATCAGCCTGGAGGATGGCAGCAGCGTGTTGAACAATCACCTGGTGGGCTTGAGTGTGGGCAGAATGCCTGTCACCGGGCTGGCTGAGCCTTTGGAGATAACCTTCTCCCACCAGCGTTACCCCCCTGTGAGTCCCCCGCCCAGGCCTGGCAGTCATAGTGGGGCAGACAGTCGACTGGGCACACATGGGCATGTGGGCTCTGAGCCGACATGCACAGGACATTGTACCCGCTAGCCTTACATGTGCACGCAGGACTATGCATTAGGGCCAGAGATACATGCCCGCCCTGTGTGTACATGCATACATGCCCCAGACAATACCCATTCACGTGCTCACAGAGGTACACTTCCAAAAAACCAAAAACTCACTCCCATTGAGTTGAGACCTGGCAACCCACATGCATGCATATGACGTCACATCTGCCCACATCCATGTGCTCCTAAAGTCACATGCACACAGACATGCAACCCTCCTACAGCCACATGCCATATTCATGCCCCTCATACACCGATCCAGGATATATGAAATGATGCAGTTTCTTTGAGGCCTATAGGAGTGAGCCTTGCTTTCATGTACACATGCTAAGACACGCGGGAGCATGCTGTCCCCCCTCTTCCCTCCTTCCCCCCTGACTCCCACCCTCTGGTTTCAGAATATGACCCTCAGCTGTGTATTCTGGGATGCGACTAAAGGTAGGGCCTGGAGGACTTCTTGGTATAAGACAGCGGGGAGGGGATGGATTTCTTAGGGTATGGGGTGGGCTTTACCCTCAGGGTCCTCACTCTCCCCTTCTCTCCCCTCCCCTCCCTTCCTGGCACCTCCTCTCCCAGGGCCGACAGGAGACTGGGCATCCAAAGGCTGCTCCACGGAGCACAGAGCTAGGAGGACTGTGTGCCACTGTGACCACCTGACCTTCTTCACCCTGCTGCTGGTAATGGCCCTGCTCTACCCTGACCCCAGCAGTCCTGAAGGCTCCTGCCTGGGGAGGGGAGTGCCTTGCAAGACCAGGGCCTGTGTAGGTTGTGGGCCAGGCCTCTGCTGAGAGGGTTCTGCTTGGGGGGGGTCACCCACAGAGGCCAATCCTGGACAAGGCCACCGTGCAGGTGATCACGTACATTTCCCAGGCGGGCTGCGGAGCCTCCATGTTCTTCCTGGCCTTCACTATTGTCCTCTACACTGTCCTGAGGTGGGTGACTCCACATTCCACCCCACATTTCCCTCCTGCCCTCAGGAAGGCAGCAAGGCAGAGTAGAAAGCACCTTGGCTGTGCGGCCTTATACTGACATCATCTTCAAACCTTAGTTTCCTCACCTACAAAATGGAGTTAGAGGTTGAAACGTGGCAGGGCTATTTCAGTAGCAAGTGACAGAAACTTGACTCAAATTAGCTTAAACATAATAGAGCATTGTGGTTCATGTAATTGAAAAATCCAAGGAGAGCTGATTTCAGGCATGGTTGGATCAGGGGCTTAAACGATGTCACCAGGACTTGGTTTCCCTTTGTATCTCACAGCTTTGCTTTCCCCTTTGTTAGTCGTGTCAGGCAGCTTCCCCACACTCAGGGGCCTCAGGAAGCCTCAGGCTTTCATCACAGCTTAGCAATGCAGGCAGAAATAAAAAGGGGTTCCCGTCTCCCAATATTTCTAAACTAAGTCCCTGAATTGAGGTAGGTTTTTTAAAAAATTTATTTTGAATGTTTTTTGTTTGTAAAATATTTTATTTCATTGCTTTCAAAAATATTTTATTTTGAAATAATTATAGACTCACAAGAAGTTACAAAAATAATACATAGAGTTCTGAGGACCTTTTACTTGGCTTTCCCAGTGGTGACCTCTTACAACTGAAGTGCAATGTCAAAACCAGGAAATTGACATTGGCACAGTACTGTTCACTAGACAACAGCCTTCATTCAGTTTTCACCATTTGTTATATGCATCTCTCTCTCTGTGTGTGTGTGTGTGTGTGTGTGTGTGTGTGTGTGCGCGCGCAGGATTGGTTACATCATTTGCAGGGCCCAGTGCAAAATGAAAATATGGAGCCCCTTGTTAAAAAGTTTAAAGCGCTTGGCTGCTAACCAAAAAGTCATCAGTTCGAACCCACCAGCCACTCCACAGATGAAAGATGTGGCAATCTGCTTCCATAAAGATTTATAGCCTTGGAAACCCTCTGGAGCAGTTCTACCCTGTCCTATAGGGTTGCTATGAGTTGGAATTGACTTCATGGCAGTGGGTTTGTTGAAGTAACTAAGAATTTTAAGACAGTGACAGTGACAGCAGAGCATTAAACCAAGCACAGAACCCTTCTGGGCACCAGGCGTTGTGGGATTGTGAAGGCTACACACCCATGAAGCTGGCGCTTGTATGTGTGCAGGTGTGTACGTGTGTGTGTGTGTACATGCTATCCCACGTATAGACCAGGATTGAGTTTCACTGGCTTAACTTGGATCATGTGCCCACGACTGAACTGATCATGATCTTCAAGGGATGGAATGCACTGATTGGCCAAGTCAGGCCATAGGACTGCTCTTGGACTTGAGATACCAAAGGGCCAACCCCACCCAAACTTCATGGCTGAATGTGGGGAAGGGTGTTCCTTAGAGAAACCCGGGGCTGATTCAAGAAGTGGGGTGAGTACAGGACAGGCAGAAGCAGAGAGATGGCCCAGCTCTGCTCTCCTAGGCCCAGGCCGTGGCTGAGGGACCCATAGGACTTGCCTGTTTGAAGGAGCCAGTAGGGAGCCTGTGGGAGCAGCCCCATGCCCAGCCTGCCCCGTCCCCGCCTCCTGGAGGTGCCCTTCGGTTTCCTGACTACTGGTCGAGTGCTTTCTCACTGCCCTCCACATGCCTCTTTGCCCCCTTCACCATTTGACCCTGGGCTGCGGCCCCCACCAGCCCCACCCAGTCCATCTCAGGCCAAACCATGAGTGTAAGCGGTGCCACCCCCGCCCCCCAAGCCCTGGCCTAGCACAGGGCTCCCACTCCCAGCAAGCTAAGCGTGACTTTCCAGCTGGCTGCACTGCTGGATCCGCGAGCCGGGCTTGGAGCACCAGAAGGAACTGGCACCAGTTCCCAAGGGTGGGGCCTGGCAACTCAGATGAGGCAGACGTCATCCTTCATGCCCCCTGCAGGCAGCCCTGGGCCCCCATCCCTCTGGTCAGAGTCCTTTGGGATCTGATTTGCTAAGAATGCAGAATGGGAGCTTCGTGGGGAGAGGTGAACATGGGGAGACAGCGCTGGGCAGGGAGGCTGGAGCCCAGGGTTGGAGCCCCTGCTCAGCTCGGTGACTCCCTGTCCCCCTCTGGGCCTCATTTCCCCATCTATCAAACAGGGTTAATGACACCCACCCTACCTCCACTGTAGGCCTTGGCATCCATTCATCTGTTCATCCACTCACTGAACCACCAGGAAGCAGGCCCTCCTCCTGCCTGCTGTGCTAGGCCCTGAGTTCATGCAGAGATAAGGGTGAGAAACTTCCACATCCACCCAGGGTAAGGGGCCTTCAGGAGCCCTGGTGGCATGACAGTATGTGCTTGGCTGCTAACCAAAAGGTGGGCGGTTTGAACCCATCCTGTGGCTCCACAAGAGAAAGACCTGGCAAGCTGCTCCTGTAAAGATTACACCCAAGAAACTCCTATGGGGCACTTCTCCTCTGTCACACAGAGTTGCTATGAGTTGAAATGGACTCGCCGGCACCCAACAACAACAACGGGCCTTCAGAGTCAGCCTCCTCAGAAAGAAATGTCTAACGGGAGTTCTGAAGGTGGAGGAGTCCGTAGGCAAAGAAGGTGGGAGGGGCTGAGAGGCAGGGACAGGTATTGAGAGCATGGGTGAAGTCCAGGAGGTGTGAAAAACAGAAGACGCTCAGGGAATTGCAAGGTATACAGTTTGGGTAAAGGATCAAGCCAAGGGGTGAGGCTGGCAGGACCTGGAACCCATAGGGTCTTGCGGGCCTCGAGAGGAGTCCTGGACTTTATTCTGAGTGTACTCACACACTGGTTGCTGGGCAGGGGTGGAAGCTGGAAGATCAGGTGGAGAGTCATGGGCTCAGGGTGGAACCCAGGAGGTGAGGTGGAGAGGCCTAGGTGCCCCATGAGAGCTGTGTCCCCTTGTGCCTTTCACTCGCCCTCCTCGTCCCAGGTTCTTCCGGCAGAAGCTCAAGTCAGAAGACACCCCCAAGATCCACATGGCCCTGAGCGTCAGCCTGTTCCTCCTGAATCTAGTCTTCCTCATCTCTCTGGGGAATGGCTCGCAGGGCTCTGATGCTGCCTGCTGGGCTCGGGGAGCCATCTTCCACTACTTCCTGCTCTGTACCTTCACCTGGATGGGCCTGGAAGCCTTCCACACCTACCTACTTGCCATCAAGGTCTTCAACACCTACTTCGGGCACTACTTCCTGAAGTTGAGCCTGGTTGGCTGGGGTAGGTGCTGTCTGGACGGGCAGAGGACATGGATGGGGTGGACCTCCCCTCCAGGCAGGCCCTGAGGGGCTGGCAAGGGGAATTTCCCTGTGGAGAGAGGAGCTGTCAGACAGGCTCAGGGTTCAAGGAATGGGCAACTGGAGGGGTTCTGGAGGAAGGCGTGCCCAGGGAGGCTGGCAATGCTGTACCTCTTCCCCTCACTCCCAGGCCTCCCTGCCCTGATGGTCATTGGCACCGGGAGTACGAACAGCTATGGCCGCTATACCATCCAGGACGAGGAAAACCGTACCACACTGGAGCTGTGAGTGGTGGCTGTGGGAGCAGGGTTGATATCAGGTTCCAGACTTCACATATCGGAGTCAGAGGGAGGAGAAGTGGAGGGAGTCCTAGGAAGAGAGATGGAGTATGACAAGGCCAGAAAAATCCTCAGGTCCAGCTAGCTCATGGCATGGAGGAGTAAACTGAGGCCTGGAGAGAGCAAGGGAAATGAGAGAGGTGCGCTGAGAAGGGGAAGAGAGAGCTGGGCCAGGAGGCAGGATGCTGGGCTCTAGCCTGAGCTGCCATTAGCCCATAGGGCACCTTTGGGCAAATTGAAAAACGTGCCCCCCCAAATGCTCAACCTGGTAAGTGGAGGGCGTGCTGGATTTCATCTCCCATGTGCTCCTCGGACCTTGTGCAGGGCACAACCAGCCCAACCATTCATAGCAGTCCTCATTCTAGTCCGGGCTCTGTTCCTGATGTACTGTGTGACCTTGGGCAAGCCCCTCAGGGCAAGCCTCAGTTTCCTCATCTGTACAATGGGGATAATCAACATGGTCTTTTAGAGCCTTTTGTCCTTGCAATACAAGGAGCAGTGGAACTGAGCTGAGCTGAGCCTTCAGACTCGCGCCCTGGCACCCCCATGGTGCCCACCACTGAGCCTATGGCCAGCACAGAGGTAGGAGGGGCCGGCAGGACCTTGGTCCTGTCTCTACGGTCTCAAACTCAGGGGCCACAGGGGCTGGATGGAGACTGGTTGAATGGCAATCAGGAGGGCGTTTGGAGCTGCCAGATGTATGGTTTTACAAGAGAAGCAGAAATCTGGATATTTATGCCAAACCTGTTTTTTACAGGGTAGCCATTAATTCAATTTTTTTTTTTATTTTAAAAAAACAATATAGTGTGGGGCAAATGAAACACTTCTTTGGGGCCAGATTGGCCCTTTTGCACACACTGGTCTAAAGACACCCTCAAGCACCTTCCCCAGAAGGAAAGCGGGGTAGGTGGGTGGAGATGGAGGACGACAATTTCTTAATCTTCAAAGGTCAGTCAGGGGGGACTTCCTGGGGGCTCGCTGGGCAAGGCTCACCTCTCCCAGTCCCAATGGCCATCCTCTTCCTCCAGGTGCTGGTTCCGTGAGAAGACTGCCCTGTATGTCACTGTCCATGGCTACTTTCTCATCATTTTCCTCTTCAGTGCCACGATCCTGGCCCTGGTGGCCTGGAAGATCTTCACTCTGTCGAGTATCGCAGCGGGCAAGGAACAGGGGACGAACTGGAAGGGGGTTCTCACTGTGCTGGGCCTCTCAAGCCTGATGGGCTGGACGTGGGGGCTGGCTATCCTCACACCCCTGGGCTTGCCTACCGTCTATATCTTCGCATTGCTCAACTCCCTGCAAGGTGAGGCACCCATACACACAGACACACA